ATAGTAGCCTGTTGAAAGTCCTGTTCGGCAGTGGAGCGGTCCTGGTGTCTAACATGGCCTGGACCATGCAGTGCAGACCACTGATGTTCAGTGCGCCAATGCTTTGTCATTGTGGCAGCTGTACGGGCCACAAAATGACATGATGAATCCCGCATACATAAAATGCCATCAGTATAAATTGGGAGCCCTGAGATGGTATTGCTCACTGCAGTGGGCACTGTCCACTGCTCACACTCAGCCATACCAGTCCACTGCTGTACAGCAGCATTGACTTGCTTTGCAGTGGCTAATGAAACCCGATGGTGGGTGCCCTGAAGATGCCGAATGATCTCCTTTGGACGGACACCATGCTTACATTTGTTGCAAACAATGATGGGCACTTCACGGGGACAGGTGAACAGCTGGTCTTCCATATTGATAAAATGGATCGATATGTAGATGATCTAGATGTAGACCAGGTGTTGTTTGAAGAGCTACAACAGGATCACTGCCAGGCACAGAGGGATCCTGGGTGTGTCATGTGTGGCATAATCAGATGGTAGGCTGCGGTCGCAGTGAATATCCAGACCCACTTCTGATCCCCCATCAAAAAAAAGGCCGATTTTCGATAGCAAATATCTCATGAAGTATGGACCTGTGTAAGCTCCAAACAGAATGGGGGAAATGTAACTTATATACTTATAACTGGCCCAAATTTGAGATTAATCGGAGTTGATTAGAGCATTCGACTCGGAGTGAGTAGATGGCATTCGACTCAGGGTAGTCTCCGCATTTTTCTCCCATAGTTAAGCGCCAAGCCTTGATTCGACTCAGGCTCGGTCGAATGCCCCCCGTGGGTTAGGGTAAGGCATCTCCACACTAGATCACAATCACATTTAATTGCTTTTCCCTTTCTCATATAACCAAATCCTTCGTGCACGGTGACTATCAACTAGCATGCTGCCAAACCAACTAAATTATCTCATAAGCTTTTCAAGATGACAATTTCCTCAGTACCACATTAACACCGGGGCTAATTTAATTCAGCAGCCATGGATATGAGCGCAGACAGCAAAAATCATCATTCCAAATTCATCAACTGTCTGAACCCAACGTTCAATTCTCTCCCTTCGCTTTGGTTCTTCTTTCTCAGGGGATGCCCATAACTCAGAGATAATCAAGCTTCCATCTTCCCAATCGGATAGGTATCGATCATACACCTTATTCCACGTCTCTCGGTTTCCAGCTTCCCACAATGCCTTATGACCCGGTACATAGACAGTTCTCAGCTCGTCTGCGATGAAATCAGGCAGCATCCGGTCCGCGTTATACATGCTACTGAAGATGTATAGAATAAAGACTGCACGGCGTTTCGCAGCAGCGACAATCCAGGATTCCCATGTTGGTTTGGTCTGTTCTATTTCGGCAGTACAGGAGAGACCATTTTGACTGGTACGGAAGGCCAAATCCATGAGAGTTATCATGGTGTTTTCCGAAAAATCGCCTTGAGGGGAGAAGTACATCACGATTGAGCAAATAAGGTAAGCTTGGAAGGAGGAGAGGAGCTGGTAGTCATGTTGATCCGGGCTCTTTCATCCCATTAGCACAGTCACGTCCAAACAGGGAGAGGTGCATACCTCACTAGACAGCCTATCCATCTCCCGTCTAAGGGTACTCAAAACTACCTCCTCGCTCCCGGGGACAGCGTGTTCCCACATACGTACTAGGCTATAGCAGTTTGCTAGTGCGCGAGGAACCTCGCTCCCTTTCACTTGGGCTTGATGAATGATTGGGGGGACATGTCCGTCCTTCAGCATGTTCCGCGGATAAGTCCTCAAGGTTCGCTTAATAAACTGTATAGTATAAGGAAGAACGACTTTTGGGATCTCAATTCGGTCGAGCGTAGCCATGAAGTAAGGCCTTAACCATCGGGCGCGAATTCTATCTGCCTCGGAGGTGGGAGTCAGGTCAATATCTCCAAAGTCAAGCTCATTGTTTCCGAGAGTCCCCTTGAGATATTGTCCGTGCAACTGCTGGCTCGGTGGATAGCAGATGGTATCATCAACAGGCGACCAACTAGGAGCACTGGCATCTGACAGAGAGACCGGCATCTGTAATGTTGTCGACGCACAGTTTGAACCGAGAAGGAAAGACGCCCTAGGACAATTTAAGCGTTCAGGTTCTGCTTGTAAGCCTCCCTGTGCTAGGCGCGAGTTGCGCTGCTCCAATGCTAGAGCCGCTGTCTCATATACACAGTTTCGGTCTGTTAATCTGCACCTCGAGCACGCAGGCTTTTCTAGACTGCACCGGGCTTTGGATCTGGCGCAATTGCCGCAAGCTTTTCTGCGTGGAGTACGAGGTTTCTTTCCAGGTGTGGTTGGCGTGGCCATGGCTCGTGGTGTAGCAGAGTGAATATATTATTGAGCTGATGTATGGATTGCAAGCTCAACAAGTCATAACCTGTCGTCTGTCCGTCTGGCCGCCAACTCCGATTTCCGCGGAGAGACGCCATGCTGGCTCCTATAATTCGCGGTTCAAGCTCGGAATTCCGAAATTTGGTCCGGAGTTCGCAAACTCCCGAGGAGTCCCTGGCCGGCTTGAATGCGGTGTCCAGAACTATTTAATGCCATCGACATAGTCCAGAGACAAATTCGTTTCTCCTGTCAAACTTCGAATATGGAGAGCCTGAACATTCTACTACGTGACAGTCTTTACGGTCGGTTGCTCAACAGCGTGTTGAAGGGACGATTTTTCTCCTACAATGTATCTCAGACCCTCAAGGATGAAGAACTACCAAGCCCAAACTCCCAGGGGCAGATTATAGTAGGCTTCGTTGGTCCTGATGATACAGACATGCCTCATAACTGGCCCACGCTGGCAAGGATGGTCGCTGGCTTCAACATATTGCTCTTGAACTTCAGCTTCTATGCAGCATCGGCAATCTTTACACCGAGTATCTCAGGTATCGAACAGGAATTTGGCGCTACAACTGCGGAAGGCACACTGGGGCTTTCGCTCTTTGTCATTGCGTACGGAATTGGGCCTCTGATTGTATGTCCGCGCCTCCAGAAGACCCCCAGTATATGACCACACTGACCATACATATCCCCAGCTTTCTCCTCTGTCAAGCCTGCCGACACTCGGCCGTTCGCCGGTATATGTCCTTGGCTGCCTTGCTTTCTGCTTGTTCAACATTGGAACGGCTCTGGCAAAAAATCTACAAACCGTCTTGGTACTGCGCTTTTTGGGTGGCTTCATCGGAAGCACACCTATCAGCGTCGGTGGCGCCTCGCTAATGGAAATCTTTAAGCCAAATGAGGTTCCCTATGCAATTGCGTTTTACGCAGTTAGCGGAGTTTGCGGGCCCATTCTAGGACCGGTATGTCAGCCTACATGCATCTAGACATTCATGGCTTTTGCTAACTTTTGCAAAAAAAGATCCTTGGAACCCTTGTAATGTGCGTCATCAGTCTTGTAAATCGCTGAATATTATCTGACACTAATTATCATCGTACAGAAAGCGCTGGAACACCTGGACAGCAACGCTATGGCTCCTTTCCGGTATCACGGCTTTCACCACCGTATCTATTTTCTTCCTTTTACCTGAGACGTTATCTTCAAATATCCTTTTACAACGAGCAAAGCGCTTTCGCGCACAAACAGGCAATCCTGCCTACCAGAGTGAAGCAGAGATCCATTCACCAAGCGACAATCTCGCTGTACGCATTGTCAAGGACATGGGCAACGATCTCAAACTTGCCTGTCTGGACCCAGTGATTCTATTTGTTAACATGCACACAATGCTAGTTTACGGTGTCCTGTACCTTTGGTTTGAATTCTTCCCATTCGGTAAGTTATGCTCTGCTAGATTCATTTCGCTCACGTTATACTGATGGAGTGATCCAATAGTCTTTGACGGCATTTACCATTTCACTGCAATCCAGCAAGGCCGTGAGCTTCCCTCAACTGACTTTTTGCACAAATACTGTGCTAACAATTCTTCTCTCCAGTTGCCTTCTTTGGTATCCTCGTTGGAGCATCGGTTTCAGTCGTTGCATACATTCTGTGGTTATACTATTGGTACCAGCCACGAGTGGCAGATGCAAAAATCGTTCTTGAGCCAGAGGCTCGCCTGGTACCTGGACAGATAGGAGCTCTTTGCATTCCAGTTTGTCTCTTTATCTTTGCATGGACATCCCGAGGAAGGTAAGCCAGCCACTGGGTTACTTGATTTCAGCAGGAGGAATTCTAACCTCCTGAACACAGCGTACACTGGATCGCCCCGATAATTGGAACAGCATTCTTTGCACCGGGCTTCTACCTCACCTTTCAGTCTATCCTCAATTACCTAGGCGAATCCTATCCGCGCCATGCGGCAAGTGTATTTGCCGGTAACACCTTCTTCCGAAGCTCTTTCGGAGGAGCACTGCCGCTGGCTGCACCACGCATGTTGAATTCGCTTGGAGTTGGATGGGCCTCGAGCACGCTTGGGTTCATCTCTGTTGCCATGGTGCCCTTACCTTTTATTTTGCAACGGGTGAGTTTGCCGCCACGACTGCATCCGATATATAGTTATTTGCTAACTTGTATAAAATAGTACGGCAAGAGACTGCGTTCTTGGAGCCCATTTGCGAACTAAGAAACACATTTCAAGGCTTGCTTCCATATTGGCTCGCCCTATATGCCATGGGCTCACTTTCGCTGTGCTACATACCACCATTTCAACCTGTGGTAAATCAAAGTTGGCACGGCGTTTCTTGAAGATGATCTCAGCGCTTGATGTCTTCCCTTTCAAGACTGAAGCCGTCTTGCGTTCACGATCCCCTAGATTTTACATTTCCCCGTAGATTTTACATTCCCCCAAAAGCTCCATCACTTGCTTGCTTGTTTTTGTATAATCAATTTTAATAGACTTATTGGTTATTTGTTTATCCCACTGCCAGCTCCATTTGTTGGTAACGGTACTGTTATATCATGCTACAGCTTGCCTAGTAGACAACATGCTTTACGCTGCAATCGAACAGCACTTTGAAAAGCTGTCGATAGCTATAGGAACCTAAACAAGAGCGGAGGAATCTTTACACGCAGGGTCAATGTGCGAAAGACTTTGATTTAGGTAGCAGGCATTCCAGGCTCGCTAGTCTTGTAATCCGGGTCCTCCTCAATGCTTACACCTGCCTCCGCTAGTAAGTGAGGAAACCATCTAAGCATTCGGTCGCAAAATACTTCGTATCCAGCTCCCTTTCGCAGCACCTTCATGTTCTCGGCATCGAAATTCACACCGCCGCGCCTGTACACATGCCATTTCTGCAGACCATAATCCACTACCAAGTCCACCGCGTCAAGCACCCTCGGATCAATATCTTCAATCTGGAATTGTTGCCCCTGGCCGGTCAGATTGGCCGAAGTTCCGAATGTTAACATGCCATCCGAGTCCTCATCGCAAAGGCGACCGAGTTCCCTCAGAAACGGACCTTCGGGAACTGTGATACTGATCGTATCGCCCTTCGTGACGTGGGATAGCGTAGCGGAATCAAGAGCTGCCAGGCGTGGGTGAAGGTTTTCGGTATCGTATTTGGCAATGATCCCGACAATCATCGCCATATCTTCTGTCAAGACCCTTGTCATCTCAAACTTGGCCTCGGAGAGCAAATGGGTCTCTCGGTGCTGTTTGTATGTCCCGATAATGCCAATATTGTGCCCCTCCCGACGGTCTTTGGCTGAGAAAATCCGCTGAATTCCCGCCTGTGTGCTGGTCAAGAGTGCGTAGCCGACATCGGTTGGGATGATGACAACTCCACCACATTTAAGAGTGCTATAGACCTCTTTAGCGTCACGAGCGACGTTGGGAGCAGTACCTGGCTTGGGTATGAAACGGGGAGCCATTGAAAGTGATGAATGAAGATTAGCTATTACATGCTAGTCAAGGTAGGAATATATGTGGTCAAGCGAATGCGACACGTCATGATGACATTCAATTTGCTGGTTAGCACAAGACTGTCCTCGGAGATTTTATGAGTGTTTCATCGCCGGATCTTTCCACACAAACGGGGTTTGTCGCAAGGGAGGACCATTGATCGATTGCTCGTGGCGTCTTTTCCCTCAGTACTTCGAAGGTGTCGGAGTTCCGTTGGTCTTGGTTAAGCTTAATTTGAATTAGTACTCGTTTACCCCACTGTCTGTTCCACTGATAGGACTTACTGGTGCCGCACGGAACTCCGATCACTGTTGACCTAGACATTTGCGTAAGGCCAGATATAAACTGCGTTAAGCTCAACTTTTAATTCAAACTTTGCCAAACGACACAATTATGAAGCTCTACCAGGCCAACCGAAAACCAAGTAAGGAAAATGGCTATCTACATAACCGACCATTCCACTTCTGTCCTCAAAACCCACAGTTGGCGCACAGCGTCCAATTCCGCCACCTACCTCCTACCTCACATAACTCCGACGTCCAAAATCCTGGACATCGGGTGTGGTCCCAGCTCAATCAGTGTTGATTTTGCCCGCAGTGCAAACCAGGGTCATGTCATAGGGATCGAAAATGTCCCTGATCCGCTCGACCAGGCTCGACACCTGGCCGTGTCGCAAGGCGTGACTAACGTCGATTTCCGGCTGGGCGATATCCACGCTCTCGAGTTCCCGGATAATACCTTCGATATTGTTCATGTGCATCAGGTGCTGCAACATATCACTGATCCTGTCAAAGCATTATGCGAGATGAGGCGTGTTGTGAAACATGGTGGAATTGTTGCAGCAAGGGAATCCGCGTCTATGATCTGGTATCCAGAGAATCGCGGGATCGACAACTGGCTCGAAGTCACTCAACGGATGGGAAAGGCGAAAGGCGGGAATCCGCACCCTGGACAGTATATTCATGTCTGGGCGGAAGAGGCTGCCGGCATGGGTGGCGCCCCGGGGTAGGCTGACCGTTTGAGATGAGATGAGATGAGATGAGATATGACTAATCATCTCATATAAAAAGGTCTCATCTCAATCTCATCTCAATTATCTTTTCTGAGATCTCAATCTCATATCCAAAGGGCTTTTGAGATCTCAATCTCATCTCAACAATGATCTTTACATCTCAACCTCATCTCAATCTCATCTCAATAATTTTTTGAGATCTCAATCTCATATCAAAATCTCAAATCCTAATATAATCTAATTTTAGAAAAGAAAAAAACTATACTAATCATTTGATTGTGAAATTAGGGCTTATACAATATGACCTTATCTATTCAGTGTGACGACTCATATATGACGACTCATATATGACGGCTCAACACTGCAGCAATGAATGATACATCGCAAATGCTGCTACTCA